GCCGTCGCGCTGACGCGTCCGCGGGCGGCGGGCGGCGTCTCCCGCTCCCTCACCCGCTCCGACCCGCCTACTACTCACCACTGAGTATTCACTCCTCCGCAGCAAACGTGTGCCACGTACGCCCCGGCGAACTCGCTATCGGTATCGATCACTGCCAGCCCCGTTATAAAAAGCCGCAAGATAGGCCGTTTACAGCATAACATACGCCACGTCTTCTCTTCGCGGAGGCAAAGGCGAAAGATTAAGTGGACGGAGATTAAGCCCCGCGGATCGCCGGTGTTCTATCTGCGCAGAGTTCCGGGTGACGGATGATGGAGGAACATACGGTGTCGTTTGTTCTCGCTCTGCTTGCGTCTGCTTCTGGAATCTGGAGGACCTGCGAGGACTCATTCGGGTTTATGCTCCCGCTCTTCTCTTTGTGTCGCTGTCCTCATTCACGATGTCGATTCGGTCGGTCAGTCTTCTCGCCCCCTGTTCTTAGGCTAAAAACGTCCTTCCATACACCATCTCAAGAAATTCTATCTCGCATCTCCCGTCGCAGCCCGTTCTCGTTGCTGCCCATCCTCCCACCCAACGTCACGGTCGACAATGCGGCCCCACCCGGCGGCCCATTGGCACGTCGCCGCGTCTCTCGTTCCACGCCCTCCGTCTGCTGTCTTCTTTCTGGCGGTTCTACTCGACGTTTACCTTCTATCTGCGTCCCCTCGCGTCGAAGACGGCGAACTCGGATGCAGACCCAGACCCGCCGGCACATCCCGCCGTCTCGCCTGTCGACTCGCATCCGCATCCACGCTCGAACGTTGCTCCTACAATATCGATATCGACACAGTAATTCCTGGCCCACATCGCGAACAATCTCCTGGTGGCGCCCGTGTACTTGTTCCCTCGCGGGTATAGGTAAAGGTAACGCAGCAGGCTCGGATCCGCCGCTGCCCATCTTCCAATCTTCCCACCCCCCCATCCCCCACCCACCGGGACAGTATCAATACGGTCCCACCCGGCGGCCCATTGGGACGTCGCCACCTCTCTCTGAATAGTTCCACGTCTTCCATCTTCCATCGGTTCCACTCAGATAGAAGTTGCGTCCCCTCGTTCGCGCACGGCGACCTCGGATGCAGACCCGCCGGCAAACGGCACATCACGCTGCGCAGCTCATCCCCATCCCCATGCAACTTACTCGAACGTTGCCTACAATATCGATATCAGCTACAACACGTCAAATCCCTGGCCCACACACGGCCTGGACCCACGCGTGCCGGTGCAGCCCGCGCGCGGCGACTCGATTCGGGTCGAGGCTATTCAATGCCCAGAGCCTAGAGCGTAAGCCTCGCCTAAAGCCTATGTAAATTCCAACGGCACACCTCAGGGAAGCTCGAGGAAACTGCGATCCCCCCGCCTGCGGTCTCTGATCCCACCCACAATTCCATCCATCCCGCTAGCGTCCCGAGGCGTCCCGCCCTTCCATGCCCCATCCCGAGGTGTCCCGCCCTTCCATGCTCCATCCCGAGGCGTCCCGCCGCTCGGCACCGTCGCCGTCAACAACGACGATAGCCTTCCGCCCGCCCCCGCACCCTGCGATCCTCCGCCCCGCCCAGGCCCAGGCCCAGGCACTCGCCCGCCCGTGCCTAGATCACACATGTACACATCTCTAATCTCCAATCTTATGGCAAGTTGATTGTCATTTTTTTATTTATTAAGTATGCATAATTCCGGCTTCAGGTTCCGGATATCAGGCCTCAGGCATCAGGACGTAAGATTAGAGCTGACTGGTGGAATTCTGTACGTTAAGCCAAGTGCAAACTAACTTACAGTTGTGAAACCGGAGAAATCATCTTCGAGCAGAGGTGCACGGAGACACGTCCGTGATTGACATAGGTTGAGCTGGGTTCGGGAGCTGCGGAGCGGCCGGATTTTGTGATGCAAACCCAGTTAAATACGAGTGGTTGCTTTATTACTTACAGTTTTGCTTGCCCGCGTACTCGAAACATGCAAATTTTTCAACCGAACGCACATGTGACATGGTGCAGCGTGCTCGCGTCGGCTGTGAAATTCAAATACGCGTAGATACGCGCGCCCACGCGAGCCGGGGATCAGGTCTCGGGGCCCCATCAGCGGACGCATTCCTCGGCCTTGCCTTCGGAATCAGCTGCAACTTGCAACTTGCAAGTCGGAATCATTCAATCAAAGCAAAATCAAATCAGCGGGAATAAAATAATCAGAACGCCTACGTGGACCAAGCTACTATTAGTACGTGGACCAAGCAAAAAAATTGACGTGGACCGACGGAACGACTGCCCGTGCCCGCGTACTCCAGACAGCGTTAATGAGATATCGTAATCAGGGCCGAGCACTGGACAGCGTCTCGGAATCAGCTTCACTTTGGGATAGCCGTATCAGGGACGCGGAAATAAAAAAAATCCAAAATCCAAAACGCCTACGTGGCGGGATGGCCCGGATGGGCTTCGCGGGGGCCCACAGTGAAGGGACGGACGTGCCAGCATACGTACTCGTGCGGTGTAAAAAAAGAAACCCGGGCATATTCCATTTCCTCGACATCAGCCAGGAAAAAAAAAACTTTAAACGAAGGGCTTCGGCGTGGACCCACAGCACGAAAACGAAAAGCGGCGAACGTGCTCGGAATCGGATGAATTTAGAGTTGGGCGGCGGTTAGTGTCGTACCAACGCGGAGGAGGCGGAATCAGCCCGCGCGTTCCAAAAGACAAGAAATATGCGAAAGTACGAAAGGGCTAACCCGCGCGAGAAGCTAAAACAAGCGGCGAACGTGCTGGGTGCAGGGGAGCGGTGGTAACGTGAAGTGGCGTATCGATGCGGGCTCGAGGCGCGGTCATTGTTCAAATTTAGTTTTTTCAATTTTGAGCTCGAGATAAGAACGATAAGAACATGCGGAAACGTCTGCCATCTTGTTCCTGGAGGTTCCCAGGCATGCCTGGGGAAGCGTCGTATCAGGGTCGAGAGAGATGTATGGACTACGGTCGAACGTTCATTCATGCTCCAATTAGCATGGTCAGGGTTGCATTTTTGGGGCAGGGTGCGGGTAGATAGCATAATGCAGGGTCGCCGTCGCGTTAATATCATACCGTAGCATCGTGAGCCTGAGGCCCGTGCGTGGAGACCCCGAATTCCTGTTTTCAACCCGGGCGCGTTCGAGACTATTTTTCCCGAGTCGCGGCCCACGAGCGAGTTGGCGTTGCTGCGTTGACGATGGGAGCATCCAATATGTAGGTAGGACCGAGAGGGCTAGACTCCGAGGGCCTGGAGCGCGCCGTCGATCAGCGCTAGCCTGCGCTAGCGTTGTAAGAATTAAAATCTCCAGTGGTTCAGATCGGGGATAAGGCCGCCGAAGGTCACCTGCAGGGAGTGAAGTGCTTGGCAACGGAAGCCTCGCACCGAAAACGGCGAGGTTGAAATACTTTAGCAAGGTAAGGTGAAAGCCACAGCATGAAACCAAAAAAGAAATCCTTACGACACCTTTAATTCAACCATAACTGAGCCTTGAAGCCTATCTAGTAGTATGTGCCGAGACGACGCGCAATCGGCGCGGTGGCGCAATCTATTATGAACAGCCATAGTCAGGCCCAGGCCCGGCAACTACCCGAGGGCCAAGACAGAGTGGCCGCCGCCAGTCTCCGCGCCACCGCTTGGCACGCGTCGGATACGTTCGAGTGCGACCATCTGACACCCCGAGCCTAATACATCGCCTCGGTTGTTTATTCTGAATCAAGAAATCAGGAACCAGAAATAACTGAATTGCTGTAAAATGAAATGACATACATACGCAACTCAGCGCCGAGGCACCAATAGAAAAAACGGGATTTCCACGAAGGCATTGACATGGATCTGCGCTGCCAGTGTGCTCGATCGTGATCGGTCTGCCGGAGCGCACGTTGTTTTAACTTTTTCACCGCTTCTAATTGCGGCGGCACGCCAGCAGAGGGTTGAGACAATGCGAGTAAGTTGTGCTACGTGAGGAGTGTTTACTTTGCGTCGAGGGAGAGAAGATGGCTTGTGAAAAGGTTTGGAGGGCCAAGTACTTGTGGTGAATGTAAATTCTTCTCGAAAATCGGATTCGAACGTTCGGAGTGGTCGTCCCGGCTCGGAGTGGGAATGCTTTTCCGAGGCCCGGGGGGCGTTTAATCGGGCTGAATCCAACCAGCAGAGCCCAACGCTGAACCACCACCCCAGTCGACGGACAGCCGGTGTTTTGGCCTTCTCCTTTCGCCGAAGGGGAATAGGAAGGACGGTCCGAACGAGGGAGATGACGTGCGTTTAAATTGGATGAAGGAGGTCAAGTGATGTGCCAGTTCGACTTATGTGGGATTCGCGATGTCGGGGAAGCGGAGAAGCTGCCAAGACTAACATCCAGCTAGGCGGCTGTGGGAACGCTGGGCGAGGTCGTACGACCCGCGGGCGTCATTCAGCAGGTCCAGAGTGACAATTGAACAGAGTTTGTTGTTTTGTGTCGTGTCTTCACGAAGTTCCACCCACTGCGACCTGTGAGCTCACCTAGGAAAATTGTCACATTAAACCGTCAAAGCAGACGATGGTTACCTCCAAGTCAGTGATTCAAGTTGAACGTCGAATGGTTCTCGCTCGGGAATCGGCCCATCGGCCGTGACGCACAGTCAGGTGCTCGTAAATGGATGGCAAAAATTGAACGCCGATGCGCAGCAGTGCGCGCTTTTGGCTACTGCAGCACAGAGGCTGGCCCACTGGCACTCCTTCATGTCGTTCCCCGCGAAGCTATGAAGCCTCGCCTGCACCGTGCTCGGCCGCGGATAGACGTGAAGTTCGTGATGCTCGGATGATCCGTCCGCTTCTTCGAGGATTGCTAGGGCTGTTGTACGACGTGTGAAAGAGGAGGAGAAGGCAGTGTAGCTTCGACGTATTGAAATAGAAAGTGAGTTATAGTCAGGAATCCGAAAAGGGTCTAGTGGACGAGCCGTGAGACTGGCTGGCAGGGAGTAAAAGAGCAAAAGGGATTCCCGCTAGCCGATTTGAACGACTGACCTCGTCATTGACCTGTTTGTAATATTTGCGATACTAGTGACGCGCTCTACCAACTGAGCTAAGAGGGAATGAATAGGATCCTGGGGAGATAATTATGACTGAGAGCGGCCTTGGGAGGACAACATTAAATCCGATCGGGTCGGATCTCTTCTGTTCAGACGGGTTTTCGCAAGGCTCGCTCACTCAAGAGACGAACGGATATCTTCTACGTACTCCGGCTGGCCCATCTATCCATCGGCTACGCATTCCCGCAAACGTGCGCCTCCCAGCTCCAGTACGCCCCGGCGAGCACGGTATCGTACTTATCTCGATAATCGCCCGCTTTTCGAGTTATAAAAAAGCACTTATCTCGTTGACGCTGCTACTGACGCGGTGCCACGTCCTCGCGACCGCGAGCAGGCCGGAGATTAATCCCGGATCGGCTTCTTGTTCTGTTCTTGCTGTTCTGTTTTTCTGCGTTCTGGCCGAATCTGTTGTCCTATCTCCCAGTTCTGTCGGTCGTGCGGTCTGTTGTCGCCCTTCTGCAGTCTGCGTGTCGGCTGCCTTCCTTCTGTACTACCGGTGGGCTACCTTTGTTCTGGGTCTGGTTCCGATTCCTGTAATTCCTTCCCGGCATTTCCCGCTTCGACGCCAGGCCCCAGTGGCGCATCGGGAACGTTGCTGGTATCTCTACGACTCGGAATCGCACTTCTGTGGCTTCGACCTGACATCATATCGCGCCATATCATACCCCTCGCGTCCGCCATTGGAGGATTATAAAATTCCATGCCCTGGCCCGGGGACCTAGTCGCCGTCCAACAAACACCTACTCCGTCCACAAACGAACACTGAAGTGTAAACATGCATGCCATTTTAGATTTAGGTGTGCTTCGATCTGGACCCACAATTCCCGTTCAAGCACACGCATTCTGCGGTGGCGCACGAACGTTGGTGATCCCGCACCCTTGCAGCGTGCACTGCACCAATGCCGCCGCGCCTCGATCCAAGCCTCGATTCCCGACCCTTCGACTGTTCAAGAAAAGTTTCAACTGTGATCCTGAACTTGGAAGTTTAAATAAAGGCCCCCTTTTCGAACGTTGCTCGATATCGACCCTCTTGACCAAGAAATACGTGTTTCGACTCACGATGGCGCGGCAGGCTCCCAATGCTATTGCCGTACTCGGGTTGACGTGACTTCAGACGGAATTGAAACAAAACTTGTATCACTGTCAAGAGCCCCTAATGATTCGTACAGCATCCCGAGCCAGCCCGAGCCCGTGCACATTGACAACCAACTCCAACATAATATCATTCTCAAGCAATTGACCAATGACTCCAAGCTGCCTAACATGTCACTGGTAGTTTGAATGCCGGCGGCGGAAACGCGTATGCGCTGTGCCGGCGCGGGAACTTGTATGCGCTATGTCCTGGACACGATATGGTGAGCCTTCGCCTCCATATGTTTACTATCTTCGCAATGGTGTGTTTCATCCGGGCGGAGTTCGGGCTGCTCGTGTGCAAGGGGCCCGGACTTGAAGATCAATCAGCGGAAGCAATTTTAGACTCAAAGATTCAAATTAGGTTGAAGCCTCGACTTGGCCTCGACACTCGGAAGGACCCGGCGAACGTGGCTCGTGAGGAAACTTTTGAACATCCTACGATGAAGGACATCATCAATGCGGGCTCGTGTAGGTGTGATTTTTAATTTGAACCAACCAGATACTGACTTTCTTACGCAAGTAGACGCGCCGTAATTCTAATTATGCTCAAGGAGGCGAACGTTCATCGCTTCGCGCGCAGTACCGCTCCTTCTGAATCCCGCTCTCGCTACCATGTTTTTTTTTTTGGCGGGGTGCGGGGTCTCGGACCTGTATCTTCCAGACTCGGACCCGTCAAGCATTCACCAGCAAACGTGCATACCGTCACTGCGTACGCTGTGTCCTCCGGAATCCGACACTCAATAAACGGAAGGTTTGCTGAATAGGCTGGTGGTCTAATAGGTCTGCACTCTGGAGCTTACGACGCGCGCGGCTATCAACATTAGGGTTTTCAATTTGTTGCAATGTTGAGATCAGACTACATCAAAGGGCGGGAGACGCCGCCCGTCGGAGGTCAGCTTCAGCAGGTAACCCTTGACTCAGTCTTCGTCAGCGCTGCCAGCTCGAAAAAAGAACTACCTTGTTGGGTCCAACATAAATCCTAAAATCTTTAGTACTTTACGACACCCGCCCGGCCGCCGGCACCAAAGTCGAAGACGCAATATTGATAACGGCTCTGGCAACTTGCCCTTCCTGGAGACTGAATAATCTGTGAGAGTGCCGCCATCACTTGGCATCGCGATCTGGGCGCTTAGGCCTGTTCGAGTGCGGCACCCACTTGACACCCTGTTTAATTCTGAATCGGGAAATCCACAGAGACAACGACAACCGACTTCGAGGTAGGGCACTGTGTTCCATTCGGAAAAGCAGAGGGCACGTTTGGCATGCGAGCAGAAGACGAATAGGGCTATATTTACTGGCACACCGATATCTTGACCTAGATCAAGATATTAGCTGAAAGTGGTAGCCAAATCAAGTTCAGGGAAATATCTTCCATCAGTTAGTCAAAAATTACAACAGAAAGGGTTGCAATCAGCAGTCCTTTCAAACTTCACATATTTATTGCATATCAATGAGCTATGAAAGGGAAGCTGAATGTTCATCTTTCAGTGGCAGCCCTTTGAAAAACAAATTCCAATGCAGTTAAAAGGTGCATTGAGATGCTTGCTTTCAGTTTTTTGCCGAGATATTTACAAAGAGAAGACTCTCCAAAACAGCTAGCGGTTCGTTTTGGAGAGTCTTCTCTTTGTTTCGATTTGAACGACTGTTCGTCATTAGGGTGTTTCACCAACTCGAGCCCCAACTTCGCTTGTAGCACAAGATCTGATCCCCAAACCTCAACTCTGCCTCAACTCCGAGAAAACATCTGCTCAGGTGGTTCACAATTGAGGCCCCAACTTGTGCCCCAACTTGGCCCGAGTTGAGGTCAAGTTGGGGTCGGAGTTGAGGCACGAGTTGGGCCCCAAAATCCAATTATGAAACACCCTATTGTGAACCACCTGAGCAGATGTTTTCTCGGAGTTGAGGCAGAGTTGAGGTTTGGGGATCAGATCTTGTGCTACAAGCGAAGTTGGGGCTCGAGTTGGGGCAGAAGTTGGGGCAAAGTTGGATGTCAAGTCGAGGTCATACCCTCGATTTGACATCCAACTTCGATTTTCGTGCCCCAACTCCGACCCCAACTTGCCCCGAATTGGGGTCGGAGTTGAGGCATGAGTTGGGCCCCAAAATCCAATTATGAAACACCCTATTGTATACATGATGGTGATAGCCGAATTTTAGGAAGCGAGCGACTGAATTGGGAAAAACGACAAAACATATCTGGAACAAAATATATTCCCGCTAGCCGATTTGAACGACTGACCTCGTCATTGTAGAACTGTACTGATGTGGATATACTAGTGACGCGCTCTACCAACTGAGCTAAGAGGGAGTGTGGAGAACCGGGTATGGGAGGGTAGTAAGCTTTTGGGAGGACAATCTAATCGGATCGGCTTGAGCATTTTGCCCATTCACGCTGAGCAGACAGTACCAGTGTTAAACGGTGTCAAAGCATTGGTCGCGGAGGAGGGTCTTTTCGGAACGCCGGAACATTGGTCGCCCAATTGGATGTTTGGACGAATCGAGACTTCTTTGGTTGTGTTAGGCCCTGAGTCAAGAGGTGAGCGGCAATCAAATACCGGACACATACCTCTTTTGGGACCCTTTCCCACCGTATACCCTGCCAGCGGGCAACAAAATGACTGGTACCAGGTACAAGCAAGGAATGATACGTTTAATTCTTCCTGCAAAATTCAAGAAAATTGTGAAAGCGTTGACCGGCCACAACGATGCCGATCGAAACTGAGAAATCGCGATCAATTTTCGTCCCTTTCTTGATGGGAATCAAAAACACTTTAATTCACTCCATTGCCCTCGGTTCGCGAAATTAACTATCTGAATATGTAGCGCATATACGAAAATGGGGGGATGTCGTCCGCCAAAATGACGCAAAATATTGAGATTTGAGGTCGCTAGAGAGATGCCGAAGAACCGTGGGAAAGTAATGTACACCCCCTCGAACTCACCCATCCGTATAATTGACCCCCTCGGATAACGAAAAAAATGCTTCTATGGGCCTGAATTTACATAAAAGAGGTTGGTGTATTTTGTAGGAATCCCGCTCACCTCTTGCCCTGAGTACTCTCTCCTATACCATCAGCTCTGGCCGCATCAAAGGGGCGTCCACTAAAATTCAGATTAAAATCAACCGGTCTTGAGGTCTACTATTTGGCCTTTGATGGATCAGATGCGGCGATCAATTCGGCAGCCCCGTTGAAACCGCTCGCGTTGATCAGGGTCTGCTGAATTGATCGCTGTATCCGATCCATCAAAAGCCAAATAGTAGACCTCAAGACCAGTTGATTTTAATCTGAATTTTAGTGGATGCCCCTTGGCCGCATCAGTACAATATCCAGTAGAAGTAGCCTTCTGTGCCTCCCTCTATCTCCATGAAACGCAAACGCAAGTCGAGACTCGCCGACCGTGGGCCCTCGCCGGATCCTAGTTCTAATTCGAAATCGAATGGTCAGGACGATGCGGGTGGTGCACTGGTGCCCGTGCGACGCAATCCCCGTCGAGGTGGTAGGCGGTTGAATTATAGGGGCTCGGACCCGGCCCCTCCCTGGGCACGAGGATGAGTATGTTTCCCTAACCTCGTCTCATACTCTGGTCCTGGCACCCGCACCCGTACCCACAGCCTCTGGGGAGGAGGATGAGCACACCTCTCCGGCTTCGCCCGCTTCGAGCCATGAGGGCGCATCTGACGCATCCGACGGTCCACCTCGTAAACGAAGGGTATATCGGAAGCAGGAATCTGAGAAAGATGTCGATGAGAGTGAAGTAGAGGATCACTCAGACTTGGAGATCCCGCCTCTGTGCGTTTCCGATTGAACCGATTTTCCTGGCATTCCCGCTTACCTTTTCGCCAAGCTCCGGAACTCCGGCAGCGGAGACAATTTATCAAGACGAGGAATCTCCATCGACGGATGAAGAGGACACTTCGGACAGCTTTATTGACGACGCAGAGGCTGATCCAGGCCAAGACGGGGATTATGTTCCCCCAACCTCGTTTCATAACCTGGTCCTGGCACTCGCACCCGCACCCGCACTCACGGCCTCTGGGGACGAGGATGAGTACACCCCTCCGACTTTGCCCGCTTCGAGCCACGAGGCCACATCTAACGCATCCGACGGTCGACCCGTAAACGAAGGGTGTGTCGGAAGCAGGAATCTGAGAAAGATGCCGATGAGAGTGAAGTAGAGGATCACGCAGATTCGGAGATCCCGCCTCTGTGCGTTTCGATTAGATCAATTCTCCTGGCATTCCAGCTTACCTCTCCGCCTAGCTCCGGAACTCCGGCAGCGGAGGAGACAATTTACCGAGGCGAGGAATCTCCATCGACGGACGAGGAGGACTCGGGCAGCTTTATCGACGACGCAGAGGCTGATCCAGGCCAAGACGAGGATACCCTCACCGAATTGAATGTTTTAACAGGACGACAAACACCCGAAGAGAACTTGGCAATATTTATTCGTTGTGTTGTTGCCCTTGGGTCCAACCCGAAACAGAATGCACTCCAGGGTGTGCGAAATGGTGCGCGAGCACCTTGATTCTATCTGAATTCTCACTGCATCCGAATCCAGACATAGACATGCAACATGTGCTTTGAAAAAGCACTTTGACGGTCTCGCGGATTCCATGCGGTCTTCAAACTGGACTGCACCATTTGCAACTACTTTGGATTTGCGTCCTGCGTGCGTTGAAGGTCTTCGTCCTCAGAGAGGCCAACATGAGGGCAAGGGGAACGGATGCCAGGCTTGCTGGACCCGAGGGCGCTACTCGTGTGATAGAGGAGAATGGCGCACCCTGTCCACCGCAGCGGGCACTTAAGACCGTGCCGCCAACATATTTCAGGTACCATCTCCTTCACACGTCCCAGAACGCTGATTTCTGCTGATTTACTGTCATTTCTAGGACCTGTCGGAACAGAACATCGACTATGAAACGAAGACTTGGTTCAAGAATCACGCCCTGGCCCGCAAACGACCTTATCCGCCGAACTTCGTGCTCACCATTGGAGCGGATTGCTTTGCCCGGGCTACGGCCTAGTTCGTTCTTTCGATCTATATAATCATCCCCGGCGTACTGACTGCGAGATAGTAATGCCGCAAGGCATTATATCTACAATGTCTACAATAAGATCGCGAGAGTCCAGTACAGTGGGAAGGAAACCCTACTCGACGCTATGGAGAGTGTGATAACCCAGGACGAATATCTGGTCAAAATCTAAACCGGCTTGGAGAGTTGACCTAGCCCTACGAAGGTGCAGGCCGATATCAAGAAGGAAAGCATCGACTGGGAGATCCTCCTGAGCGGAGGCCGCCCTGGCGATTGTTGAGGATAAGATACCTATTGTGTACATGGTAGTGGTGCCCATGTAGCATGTGTAGATTTATTTTTGGAAAATGTGATGAGACCGTGTCCGCTTTGGGAAACGTATTCCAGACGCGACAACTTCCATCTTCAATCGTTTCGCCCTATTCGACGATGACCCGGCCGAAACGCAAACGTACAGGCGCCGACGCAGCAGTGGATGTGGAACCCGCCTCGCTCGAGAGTTCGCCACCGAAGAAACGGGCCCGGCGACTGGCGAAGTCGATCGTCCAAGCATTGGACCTAAGCGACACCGAGGTTCAGGCAGTCAGTCGCAAATCTCGACGGCCAACCGAGCCGCTCTCAAATTCCGAGAGCTCGTCCCTGAAGAAGGCCCGGCGCGTCAAGCCGCCGCCCCCAGTGATAATCGAGGACTCCGATTCGCAGGCTGAAGGCCCGTCCGACTCAGCGGCTTCCCCTCGCAAGCGAAGGGTCCGTCCCACGGTTATTGTCCCGTCGGATTCTGAGGAGGACGGAGGAAACGTTCCCCCAAAACGGCTGCGACGCGTCAAGTCGCCACCTTTGGAGTCAGAGAACGACTCTCCGACGGAATCTCCTCGAAAAGGGAGGCTGCACCGAAAAAGAGAAGATAGTGCCGCGGAGCATATACTGGATTCAGACGACGATCCTGAGGATCTCGCCCGTGGGTGTCCTGCGCTTTTTTGACGCGCCGCCCTGACGCTTTTTACAGTACCCGTTCAACCGACTTTCTCGAGACCGACCAAGAAACAGATCAACTCCGCCGCGCTCGAGCGCTACGCGAAGGCTCGGAAGAACAAGTCTTCACCGGCACCCGTTCCTGCGGACGCTGTTGACGATGATGAGGACGGTCTGTTCAGGGAGTTCACCCCAATCCCAGAAATAGAGGACGAGGACGAAGACGAAGACGTAGAAGAAGGTGTGGACAATGAGGAGGAGAGCTTCATCGTCGAGGAGGACGAGGGGGATGCCGACGCCGACGCAAACGCTGCCCTGGATCGCATGCGTTATTCCCACCGCGAACTCGACGAGCATTTTGCAGTGTTTGTCGAGTACATCGTCGCACTCGATTCCGACCCCGAATATATGTCTACCGCGACAGAGGACGAAAGTACGTGCGTTCTATCTAGTACGCCGTCCGGATGCTCATCTTGCAATCCAGAGGAATATTTCACCACGGCAGTGACGGCTCTGCGCCGGCATATCGACTCCCTCGCTGATTCGATGACGCTGTCTACTTGGAAGGCGCCGTTCATCGCTACTTTGAACCTGCGCCCGGTGCTCGCAGATGGCGTTTCTTGCGAAGGAAACGACAATTGCCACGCCTGTTGGACCCGAGGCATGTACTCGTGCGATGTCAGGGGTTCGTACACACTATCCACGAAGAAGGGTATCTACGACCCCAACACGTTCCAGGTGAGTGATCCACTCACGTATGAACGCTGTATTTATTCTATCCGCATAGGATCTTCCCGAGAAAAAAATGAAATACGGGAAGGCCACATCGTTTGAGAACAACGCGGAGGCACGCAATCTGCCGTACCCCCCCCGCTTCGAACTGATCGTCGGCGCACGGTGTTTCAATCGGGCTTTGGCCTAGTCCGTCCCTCTATCAGCCGTTCTTGATCATTGTCAGAACTGAAGAATTGTAATATAGCCACGAGGCGCGGCATTCCTTGTACAGCGCCTCTGTCCGAGTCAAGGAGAAAATCCAAAGCCTCAGCGAGGAAAACGCAGAGCTCGCTAACGATCCAAACGCTCTCCTCGAAGTGATGAAGGAGGAGGATTTCATAAATTCCGTGGGTTCCGTTCCGTGGAGCTTTGATGTACTCTCTAACGCCTATATAAGCTCTGGGGACGTTTCAAAGCTGATAAGAAACAGTGGGCGCATTTCGGAAATAGGAAGGACCATGACTCACTTGTGTAATATTGCGACAATGTCGACGTCCGCGGGTTCTTGGTGCGTCTATAGTTCTGAG